AAAAAAAAAAAAAAAATGTAGGTCGGGCCACATCCTGCCTGCTCACACTCCTCACTGCGCTGCACATGCTCCTGAAAGCCTCCCAGCCCTCACTCTCCTACTGCCCACCTCACCCTCTCTGGCCTGGGCACCTCACGTCCCCACACAAGCCAGACAGCGCCCCTCAGTGCGGCTGCCCATGCTGTCCGACTGCCGCCGCGCTTCTCACAGGCTCGCTATGACTCTGTCCTTCAGTTGCCTTGAGGCCTGGCTAGCGAGGGTCCTGACCAATACTCCCCACTCCTCCCAAACCCTCCCTCCCCCCTTGCCAGGTCTATTTTTCTCCACTCGTTACCTTTTGCTATACTATCGTCTACTTATTCTATCATTTCCTCCCACTAGAATGAGAAGCTCCAGGAGGGCAAAAATGTGAGGATCTCTGCTTACTGCTGTGTCTACAGTAGCAGGCCAGCACCTAGCAGGGGTGGAAAACAATTTGCTGAATGAACATACAAAGTGCCTGATAAAAAGAAAGCAAATGTACAATAATTAGTTCATAAATGCCTCTGAAAGTTTTACATTTAGATTACTGATACAATAAAGGGAAAATGATATAATTTCACTTCTGACTGTTCTATGGGACATTTTAAGAATTCCTTTTAAAAGCATAGTTTCTAGTGTGGAGAAAGTGGAACCCACATACACTGCTGATGGGAATGGAAAATGATGCAACTGCTATGGAAAACAATCTGGTAGTTACTCAAAAAATAAAGCACAGTTACTGTATGACATAGCAATTCTCCCATGTATATACCCAAGAGAAATAAACAAATCCAGACATGAAACCTTGTAGACAAACGTTCACAGTATCATTCATAATATCCAAAAAGTGGAAACACCCCTAGTGAACCTCATCTGATGAATGGATAAAATATGGGGTGTGTGTGTGTCTCTCCAGCCCATGTGTGTCTCTCAGCAATAAAACAGAATGAGATTCTGTCACATGCTACCATATGGACAAGCCGTGAAAGCGTCACGTGAGGTGGAAGAAGTCAAGCACAAGACCACGGATTACTGGAGCTCATTTGCAGGAAGAGCCTGGGACAGGCAAATCTGCAGAGACTGAAAGTAGACTGTCCAAGCTGTCCAGGCCACCTGGCCGGAAGTGTCAGGGGCACACGGGGAGTGGCTCCTAATGGGTATGGACTTTCTTTGGAGAATGACAAGAATATTCCCAAACTGTGATGTAAGGACTCACGTACTGTAAACATAAAATTAAAAACACTGCATATTTCAAATGGGTGACTTGCCAGACACGTGAATTAAATACCATAGCAGTTGTGGAAAACAGCACAGCCCTGACAGCTTACCTTTCACAGACTTTGTAGCCTTCATTGACACTGACCGCTTTGTACTTCGTGTGGCCTCTGGTCCGCTCCAATTCCCAGCACCAGTCTTTAAGCGTGTCAAACATTACAGTGTGGTTCCTGGGGTCAGTGGCTAACAAAACAAATTTACGGAGACAATAAGATGTTGTCATGAAACACTGGATTTCTATGATGTGAAAGAGGGTCCCCAATTTCCCCAGCAGAATGAATTCACTGCTTACTCCTAAGCTTCTTCCGTCTTTTTGTCATTTATCCAAAAGTACGACTGAGACTCTTTTTATACTTGAGAAAAGAAGTTGTTCTTGTTCCATTCCTTGCAAAAGTAATTTATAGCTCCATGTTCAGTCATCTGACCATGAGGTAATTTATATATCATAAAAAGATCCTGTGAAGCACTAAAAGACAGGCTTGCCATAAATGCCAAAATAAAGTAATTTTAGTCCTACTAATGTATGCCTAAGATAGCGAACTCATTTGAATAGCACACCAGATTCCCGAGTGTAAACCCCCCCAACTGGAGGATTCACTGCCAGCAGCAGGGTTTTCCAGTGCAAAACCTGGTCACCAGAGGCCATGATTGTATCAGTGGGTGGGGGCAGGGCTCGGCCCAGGGCTCCACAGCCACAGGCCTGCTGCTTTGGGCCTTGTCCTGCCCTCCGCCCATGAGGAGGGGCTGCTCAAGGGCGCTCCTCTGGTAGCCTTTGGTCCTCTCCCAGGCCACAGCACTGCTTGCTGTGTGTGACATGCAAATAGTTCAAGCCTCTGCCCCTCTCAAGAAACAAATCTTCCAGGAGAATTAAAGTGTTTTCTGCTCCTTTTAATAAAGCCAGGATGGTAACAAGGATAATGGTAAAAATAGCAGTTAAACTGATACAGCACTGAGTGTGTGCCAGTCACTGTTCTGAGCACATTCACTTTATTTATTTATGACTCAATTCCTACAGCCCTACAGAGTAGGTAACATTTCCTGTTTCACAAATGTGGCACAGAAAGGTTAAGTCACTTGCCCAAGTCACAAAGCTAGGCAATGGCAGCACTGGAATTCAAACTCGGGCAGTGACATAAGGCAATACAAGCAAAAAAAAAAAAATTCCCATTCCCATGGGCATAAAAACAATACTCCAATGTAAGCATAGAGATTAGAACAACTTTCCAGCTACACAGAAAGACCTTGTTATAAACACTTAGGACTTTTTCAACCAAAGCACGTTAGTGAATTATTAAGCCCAAGAATAATCAATTACGTTCACATTGCAAAGGAAGCATTTCTATGAACCTCTGCTCCATGAGAAGCTAATTTTTTAATTAACATCCATCAGTTATAACCTTGACTTCTTAAAAAAACAAACAACAAAAAAAGATGGGGTAGTTGGAGGAAGGAGATAAAGAAGGTGGAGCTTAAGCAGAGTAACAGACGCTACAGAGCCGGGGCCTTCCAACACAGAACACACCACAAAGTAATGTAACGCCTCGGCCGAGCACAGTGGAGGTTCTGGCACTGAGAGACGGGGCTGGCAAGCCAAGAATCTGTCCCACAGTGGGTCCAGACCAAGAATCAGGATGGTAGGAAGGGGCAGAATTCCTGAAAATAGACTGTAATTTTTCAAATGTAAACCAAGTGTTGATTTAAATTGCAGTAAGCAACAAAGAAGTCACATTTTCAATATCTTACACTGCAACAAACTGTTGGAAGCCAACAGCCAATGAACTGGCATCTGTACACATGAAAAGATTTGTCAGAGACAAAGACGAATTTGCTGAACTAAGGGACACATTTTCTGTTGAGCCCAACAGCAGTGCTAAGTACGTTTTATGTTAATGTAATTCTCTCAATGCAATTGACTGCATAATAGACAGTGAGCTCTCCGTGGGCCTCATTTAATGGCTACACCCTGCTCACACCCTGCTCGCTGTGCATTTAACAATTTATAATCTTCTTAACAACCAAGAGAGGCATTAACACCGCCTTTTTTTTTGTTTGGATGAGAAAACAGAGCGCCCAAGAGTTTAAATTCATCCCCAGGATCACACAGCTGAGTAAGGATTTGAACCCCAGTAGGACAGACCTGTAAAGTCACTTTTTCTACTAAAACCACATTCCCCAAAATGCATGTTCTCTCTCAGAGACGCACATCTCTGCGCTACCAGTCTCTCTGCTGACTGCACTCCTCTGGGCCTAGCAGACACTCCCCGGCCTGCCATGGGCCCAAGGGCAGCCTTCACCTCCGGAAGGCCCCCTCCCCACCGTAGCCGGGCACCTTTCTCCCTCCTCCACCAGAAGACATGTCACTCTGCCATCTGTTTAATTTCATGCTCTTGGTGGGAGGATTTAATCTGTCCATCTCCACATTCCACGGGGCCTGACCCATAGCGAGTGTTCCATATATGTGTGCTAAAGGAGCAGTTATAATAAAGTAATCCTGATTCCACAAAATGTGATATATGCATTGAACGAACATGCCGCATCCCCACTGCAAAGCACATGGCACACAGGGCCACCAAACACCAACTCACAGGAAGTGTAACAGGCAGCGCAGGTGAACAGGCCAAGGGAAGAGACTGGAGGAGGAGACACAGACATCTTACATGGCAACACTGTCAGATCTAGGCACTCATACGTTTCTTGCCTAAAAGATCGCTGTCTTTTCCAGTGATCTGATGCAAAATACTTGGAATCATCTCCTAACCAAACTAGCTTTCTGTTATGCTCTTTTATGTACAAAATATGTGCTATAAAGCATTGGGCCCTCTAACGTGGGTTAATGTGCAGCACTGAGAAGCTAGCCACAACTGCTTCAGCACAGCTCCAGCATGAGTTCTATCCCCAGCCCCGAACAGGAGCTGACCCACATGATGCAGCAGACCTTTCCTGTCTCATCTGCTGCTCCCCTCAGCAGTGTTGCTTCATCGATCTGCCTATTCTGCTCCCCGCTGTCTCTGGTGAATCCTCTCAACACCGCTGCACCTCTGGCCTATATCCCAGTTCTGTATGCATAGATAAAATAAATCTTAAAAAAATAAAATAAACAGATACCCAAACCTTAAAAAAAAAAAAAAAAAAGCATTGTCTGGTTGCTTAAAAACTTTCTAGAATGCGGCCCTCCCTGGTGGCGCAGCGAGTTAAAGCACAGCACTGAGAAGCTTAAGCCACTTCAGCATGAGTTCGATCCCCCGCCTGCCCCAGAGGAGATCCACATGGCGCGGCAGACCTCTCCTGACCCGCCTGCTGCTCCCCTCAGCAGTGTACTTCATTGATCTGCCTGTTCTGCTCCCTACTCTGTCTCTGGTGAATCCTCTCACCACACCTGCGCCTCTGGCCTGTACCCCAGTTCTATATAAATAAATAAATAAATCTTTAAAAAAAAAAAAAAACTTTCTAGAATGCAAGACATTTTCTGGAGCCTGATGGAATGAAGTAAAGTATATCAAAGTGGGAAACAACCCAGTGACAAACAGGTATTTTAAAATTGTCTCGACGTTTTCTATAGTCCTACATTTCCACTTAAGCCCTCACAAAAAGCAAACATACCTGAAAGATAAATTAAAGCAATAAAGATCGCAGGAAAAGAAATTCTTTTTCACTTAGAGAAACCTGGAGGGATGACCCAAGCAAAAGGTGACCGACTGCCAGAGGGGAAAGAAGAAAACATGAGGCTTGTTTCAGGTAGATAATGGAAAGTCCACCACACAAAGTATAACTTACCTGTATCATTTTGTGCAGCGGTGGCATAAGAAAACAGAAATAATCGTTTAAGCAGTTTAGACGACTGGGTATGATGAATTATGCCACTCACAATCTAGAAAAGAATCATAACATAGATATCATCATCAACCGAGGGAGCAGGCTCCTAAGGCCAGCATGCTAACACTTGTCGAGATCTGGATCCCCGACATTATCTCTTGTAACAGTGACAGACCAACAGAAAGCTAGCCATTTTGTGAGGTTTTCTAAGAACCTGAATTTCTAGGGGAATTTTTCAAACAGTCTAATTTCTCAAAATGGTGCCAAAAAACACGAAAGTGCCAAATTCAGATAATAACTAAGATGCCTGGTTATCTGATCCCACCTGCTGCAGCTTTAGGGCTTCTAGATTAGGAAACCATCCACTGTACTTTCTGTTTGACGTTCCAAACAAAAGCATGTTTGGAGAGATGACAAAAATTATTATGCAAATTTCTGGCTTCTTGGGGAATTTTCCAGACCTACACCACTCTGCTCGTGCTGATTTATTATTCCAACTGAACTACTACACTACCTGAAAAAAAAATCAAGGCGTTCCCTGTAAGTCTGCACAACTTCCTGGCCAAAGACGAGAGAGGAACTGGCCTCTCACTAGATTTCCCCTGGTATTTATGACAAGATGGCAACTTTGAGACCTTCATGATCTTAGTAAGAGAAATCTAGGAAGTTACACCCAGTCATGTATGTTTTCTGGGGGAAAACACTGAGTTTCCTTGGCCTCTAAAAGCAAAGGTCACTTTCAGTGACTGGGCTTTGCCCACCTGGACCTGTGTACTCCTCATCTTTCCACACATAACTGCTACCTCCTAAGAGGAGACTCATTTTTCACTCCAGAAGTTGGAAGTCACTGCTACTGCCTTTTAAAAAGCTGTCAAGGCAAAGGCAGAGGACTGCATCTAGCTGTCCCACCCTTCCCTTCCCAGCAGCCTCCTACCCTTGAGAGCTCAGAAATAGAAAGTAGAGGATTACATGCACCCAAACAAGGCGTGGGCACACTTACCAAGTTCTCTCTCAACTCTAACAGAAGCATGTGGGATTATAACTACCATTAAAGAGTGAAAGGTTCCCCTCAACTTTGTGCAATATAAGCAAAAAGTAGATTTTGGTGGGGAAAATCTGACGGGAATTAAAATCTAAAACCATATGCAACGAGTTACCCTTTTGACTTCTTCTTCTTTTGTGTACCTCAGACAAAAGTGGAATACGCGGAGGTCTTTGCAGTGGATGATGAGTTTCTCGGGGTATTTCTTCAGTTGTCCACAGAGTGCTTTTTTTTTCTCATCAAACACTACACATCAAGGATAAAGAAACAAGGTAGATGATGACCTTCTAAAGACACCTCTCAAAAGTGAGAGGAGGTACTTACTACTTTTTCAGTAACTGTCAGCAGGGCCCCAGTTTCATCAGGTAGAGGCCCTAACTTTCTAGAAAATTTTAAGGTTCTCTATCTGGAGAAAGACTGTCCACTATCGGAACTGGCTGTGGATCTGCAGAGAATCCAGCTCCAAAAGCTAAAACTATAAAAGATGGAAACTACCAGAGACACGTTTTTAGGATGGTAACCCCTGGACTTATGGCTAAATGCCTCCTGACACCTTTCCTTCCAGGTACTAGAATTTGGGCTGACAGCACCCAGTGGTTTTAGGTAGTAAGTAGCTACTGAATGATTTCTGAAAATGCCCTGATAATTAGAGAAAATAGAGAAGTAAAGAGACCCAGCAAGAGGTTTGTTTAGTCAGCAGAACTGATGTCAAGTGCAATCCAAGGCCTCTAAGGGAAAACCTACACAGCTAACATTGGTAGCAAAAAGTATAGTCAAAATCTAACACATGATGACATCATGGAATATTAGAAAGAACAGGTTCCAAGTTCAAGTCTGAGTTCCACCAGCTAAATAACCCCCAAAGCAAGTCACTTTGCACTCAATTCTCTCATCTGTAAAAGTGATTTAAATAGGATGAGAAGGTGAAGAAATTGTAAAAGACTATAAAAGGCCACAAAAATAACGTCACTATCAGCTATACTTTTGAACGCTCCCAAGGAAAACAGATACGCACCTCCATAGATCTGGTCCACGCAGTGGAGTGTAATGTCATTTTCTCCTATAACCTTATTCTTAAATTGGGTTTCCTAAAAGATTCAAAAGAAAGCAACTGAGTCCTCTCTCTGCATGTCAGGCAGTGGCAGGCACAACAACACACCATTCTCCACCTGCACGTGAAGAGAAACATCCCTAGGAACAGGACAACGACGTGACCAAGAGCACGTGAGAAAGGCTGGTGAGCACTGTTTTTTCAAATCCAGCATGGTGTGCCATTCCTCGCCCCCTGCCAGGCAAACCCACCGGGCCATGCACCGTCACTCTGAGAGAGGAGGGGCCAAGTGGCAGACAGGTTAATGCTGTTTCACACAGAGGCCAACAGGTGAGTGACGCAGCTGCATGAAGCCAGCTTTGGAAACTGCGGATGACTCAAGTGTCCGCGCTGCCTTTGTATGGGACTAGGACCAAGTAGCACCAGGGGACGGCAGCACAGACTGCTCAGTGCTCAGAGCTGCCGGCTAAGACGTGAGGGTGGGCTTCCCCGACACGCAGTGCTCTCAGGCAGGGTGGGCAGTTCACTCCTTCAGACTGCTCATTCTTCATAAGTAGGGACGAGTCTGACAGGGATGGCTACTCGGTGTGCAGCAAGCAAACATAAAGTAAAACTTGAATCCAAGCGCTGCATTCAGCATCAGCTTCGTACCTGAACTCTGCTCCTGGACTTAAGGAAGAGTTCAGCCTCAGAAAACATGGGGAACTACTAAATTTGGGGAGACGTTATTCTCAAAGAGTGATACACTGTGCTGGAATATAAAAGAAAATAAGAAAAAGGTGATGGTGTCAATCTAGGAAATCTAGCACAAGCTGGTGTGACAGGAAGCCCCCAGGGGCTTTCAGAACAGTCTGACCAGAAGAAGGAGGGTAGGGAGCAGACGGGGTAAAAGGACTGTCCTTCATGTTTATGTGTGTTATGGGTGATGGAATCATTGGGAAGCTCAAGAAAACAGACCACCGTTGCCCTGCCTTCCCCCAGCTCCTGCATACATCACTGTCCAACACAGCTTCGTCATCGCCCAAGAAAGCAATCTTGAAGTCCGTGCAGACCAGCTTCCCATAGATGCCGCGCTGACAGGAATCTTCCTGGACACACTTCAGTACTGTGCTGGCTTCACAAAGCAGCTGTTCACCTGATGGAGACCAAAACAAGTTTTCCTTAGAGTCCTCAGGGGACATACAGTATGCAAACAGTCAAGGCTGCCGTGGCGCCACTTGCCATCCAGACACACACACACACACACACACACTCTTGCCGTCCCACACACAAGGCCGTGATTCAGAACTTCAGTTCCAGCAGAGCGAGCGCTGCAAAACAGGAGAGAAAATGCAGCAGAAATGGGAGCACTGAAGAGTGAAATCAAAATGGCCTGGTCACACTTTCAAACAGGACAGTTCTCTATCTTCTCACTGTGACTAACAGAAGTTTCCAAATAGGTGATCGTGATCTTGGCTACACCTGCCAAGTGTAGCGCTCAGAGCTTTGAGACTCCAAGCCAAATGACACCTCACAGAAAGGCCCGCCCTCGTGCTCCAGAATTGGGACCTCAAGTCTGCGCAGGGAGGGGCCATATCTCACTCCGCAGTGGCTAAGAGAGCAGGGTGTCTCCTTGGCCGTGGGGTTTTCAGGCAACTTCCTCAAACACTCAGGCAGGCTACATGCACCTCCTTCCACTGCACAACACTCATCTGGCTCCACAGACAAGGATGGGAGGAAAAGGGAGGTCAGAGGTTTGTGGGGAAAAAAAAAAAACTGTTTCCTCTCTTTCTTAGGGGAGAGTACTTCCTCTCAGTGTGTCACCTTTCCTGCTCTATCTGCAGGCACCCAGCCCACATGGGAAGCTGGATTTCCTGAGGAGGGAGAGAGCACTTCTCTTTGCAGTCAAAAAGATGAGGAAGGCTGGGTAGAAAAGCACTCTCTGCGCCTTCGAAGAAGAGAAGTTCATGAGGGCTGGGTGTCTGGGGGAGGACAAGTAAAAGATTGGGTGGGGGCAGGGAAAATGAAGCACTAAGTGTAAATACTTTGCAACAAAAAAGAAAAGCAATTTCTCTTCCTCCAACAGCCAGCCATAATCTCTCAGAATCTTGCTAAGATAATTCTTCATTGTCTTTACTCTTAGGTTCTGCCTCAAAATTCACTTAGTGTAACTTTCAATTAGAAAACAAAGAAGGGGTCCTGACACAAATCATCACTTTTTGGTCCATCTTCCAATGGGTTAATACTAAGGAAACACAGAAGATGGCTCCATCCTCAGCCGCTGGAGAGCCCGTGCAGCTTGAAGGAAACCATGATGTCAGAGTCTCGTGGGGTTTCAAATTGTCCCAGAAAAAGTGCCTCTACTAAGTCCAAGCTGGAGGACACAGGAGCAAGGCTTCCTGTCCTGTGCTCTTGACTCCTGACTGCCGCAGGTCTCCCCGAGACCAGGAGCTGGCGGTGCTGTCCTGCGGTCATGCGTGGGCGCACAGCGGCTCACCCACAGCCAGGTGCGCTCCACAACCACCTGATGCGCACAGCAATCCTCACCTGCGTGTGCACAGGCTTGAGTCACCGGGCAGGAGCTGTAAGAGGTCTTGAGCTAGTCTAGGAAAGTGAGACTCAGAGAAATCAGCTGTGAGCTCACAGCTGCACAAAGAGAAAGACTGTCAGACAACCGAGGGGACGGAAGAATGTGTATAAGATTTAGACGCTATAACCCGAGAAAAGCAAAGACAGTTGGATATCTGGCTTTCACCATTACTAGAAAAAGGGCTTGATACTTAAGAACACCAAAAAGTTTTATAGATTACACTGACCAAAAAGTTTGCTCAGTCAGAAACCTGTCCATACATGCTCCCAATAAACAGGAATAAAATTATAAGGACCAGAAAAGGGCTCTACTGCATTGGGGAAATATATCTTTACAAAATTATGGGAAAAAGCTATTTGGGATTGGAAAAAAGAAAGTAGAAGAACTGAAAGCACAGTTCACAAGTTTCCCCATGTATGAAAAAGCTATACCAACAAATTTGATTACCAAATTCAGAAATAATTTCACTTTGAACTAAATAAAATAAAAATTTTGGACTACAAAACCTGTGAGTGGGGAAGGCAGGGGAAAGGAGGTAAATCAGCACAAAAAGGACAATGGCATGGTGGCGGGCAGGATTCGACTTTTATTACTGGCCCTAATCTAATCAGCACATGCTGATTGTCAGTGATCACAGCTGACACCTGATATAAGAATATCAGAATGGAATGCTACTTCCATAAAAAGTTCGCTTTTAAAAATGATCAAAGTTTGACTTAAACTACAAAGTCACTCTTCCAACTCAAAGACGTCATTAGCCCGGCTCCTGGGTAATGAGCAGCACTGAGCCCTGGCAGCCACGGAGAAGGGTAAGCCCCAGCATCCTGGCACAGGCGCTCACGTGCGGGCAGCGACCAGCGACGACAGGTGAAGCCTCCCTCCCCTCCCTCCCCTCCCCGCAGCGGCAGCGGCAGCCCGAGGAAGCAGCTGCAGGGCCAAGCAGCTACGCTTGTGCAACAGGCAGAATGTGGGCTCTGTGGTTACAGGGCTTTCCCCAAGAGGGATCAGGATAGTGGCTGGGCCACGGCCCCATCTGCTTGTGAAAGAGGCGAGAATTTCCCAGGCTTACTTTCATCTGCTTGCAGGAGGTTGGAAAAAGGAAAAATTCTTTGTAGGTGTTGTGACACTTGTTACTGAACTCGTGTTCCTGCCAGTTTTGTTTAACTTATTACTACTACGTGCCATCTGGATAAAAACACAGGAATTTCTATCTCGTGCTATGAGGGACGATAGAACTGGTCATGTCTTTGAGCTGGACATGAGGTATGAGGCTGACATAGCTATTACCTGGCAACAAGTGAAGAGTTACTTCCTTCTCTGCTACTTCCTTCTCATTTGTGTGAATTTCCTAAAAGAGAAGAGCAAGGGTAATTTTTTTCTCTGTTAAAATGAAGCCATGCTTTCAGAATAGACATTAAGACATCATAAACCATCAAGAGTTTCTGACAAGCTAGTTACTTTTTAGGAAGTATTTTTAACTAAAGGAAGACAGAAACTGTGTTAAACTCATTACTTAAGATTAGTCACTCATCAGGTGTCCCAAGAGGTGGGGCAGGGATGGGTACTCTCCATTTAAAAGAACAAATGTCACGCTGCAGTCAGGCAGCTCACGGTGAGAGAAAGAGAGCAGAAAGAATCCCCTCTTCCTCTAGTGAGCCTCCAGGCTCCAAAGCAAAAGGAGACTGTGTGTCCTTGAGAGAAATGGATGTCAGCAAAGGACTTGGAGGTCAGCAGGCACATACAGGCTGCATCAACACTGACCTATCTACTCCGTGGCATCCCTGGGCTCAGAGCCACGAGACCACGCCGTGGGATCCATCACTGCTATAAGGAACGGGGGTTCAATGTCACTGTTCCTCAATAAAAATCTCTTCCCAGGCCTCTATGTTGAATCCTTCACGAATAATGGATTAAAGCAATACCATAAATAGCTAACATAAAGAAAGGCATGGAGGGCCTCCTAACAAAATCTACCATACCATCTATGAAGGTTTCTTGCCAAAATATCTAACCGTTCAACATGAGCTCCTCTGGCAATCTACCTACTCCTGAGAACCTGGGACAGAGGAGCGTGTTAAACACCAAGGAGAAGCAACCAGCCAAATCCTGACTGCGGAAGATTTTATAAGACACAGAGTTCTGTCAACAAATAGAATTTTGTGTCATTTTGGGTAGAAGATTCTGGGAGGTATGAGTTTCTGGATGTGCTCATTCAGCTGAAGTTCGGTATTAGAAGGAACTTGGGTACAGCTAAAGTATAAAAAGGCTAGCTAGCCATTCTGAAGCAGAGGGAAAAAGCCTTGGCTTTTTGAGAAGTCATTCTGAGCATGGTCTATTCTGGAGAAAACTACAATTTCCATTCCAGGAGATGATGAGACATGCTTCTCAAACTGGAAGTGTCGATCACTCGGGAAGCTGTTATGTTACCGCTACAAACTCTCGCAGGTCCTACCAAAAGCCTGAGAGGGAAGGGGGCGAGCTGGGCCTCTGGCCTTTCGAAAAGCTCCCCAGGTGACTGACACAGTGCTCCAGGTGACACAAGGGGGACGGCTCTTGTATGCGTAAACGCTGAGAGTATTTTCGAAATTTAGAAATTCTCATTGAGAGTTTTCATCATCTATCACTGACAAAAAGCTAAAGCACAATTATTTTTGACAGGTATATCATCCTTCTCTGAGGAGAGCACAAAACTATTCATTAAATTTAATCAGCTGTTAGAACACTCTAGCATCATTCTGATTAGTACTTAGAAGCCAGGGTGGAGACTGCCCTATTGTTATTTCTGCAGACGTGTTATCTGCTGATGACAGAAAATGTGTACTATTCAAACTACCTACACATCAATTCTTGCAGTGATTAGTGGAATTCTTTATAGTTCATAAACAAATCAGGAGACACCTTCCAGGAGTCTGTCCTACCCAAAACTTCCTTTCTCCAGACATGTGATCCTTACCCCTAGCCTCCTGGAGTGAAACACTGCTCAGCTCCCTAAGCCATTGACTGGGGACACATACAGGGGTCCACAAAGAGTTAATCATTTAAACACCTATTAATTTGGCTGAAGGACGAGGAACAGCTAATCAAACTGGCTTCTTAAACTCAGACTTCACACCATGGGGAAGCTGAGAAAGCTGTGGTCTTGTAGAAAAGGAGACCCAAGAAGAGGATCTGTGGAAAGAAAGCCAACCTCCCCTTCCCTCCTCCCAAAGACACTAGTGATCTGGCTCCTCAGTGCTTCCAGGCTTTTATGAAGTCCAGTTCCATGGTCCACACCTCTATAATAAACGCCCCTGGTCAGCAATCATTAGTTACGGTGGACTTCTGCTGCCTATCATTAGGGTATGGCAGACTTAGGACACCCACATTAACAACACAGAAACACAGATGCGAGGGTCATGTGGCGCCGCATGTCGCTATGCGCTATGCATGCCCAGGGCCAGAGGATTAGGGACCACTGTGCGAGGAAGACCTGCAGGGAGTCAGCGCCAGATCCAGCACCTACTGACTCAAGTTGGGGGCTGCAGGGGAGTGAGTACAGATGAGGACGCAACCTAAAGCCTCAGAGGGTGTTTTTGGCCATTATTCAGCAGCCCAAACCCCTCATTCATGGCTTTCCTTGGCTGCGCCCGCCACATTCCCTGCGTGACCCATCCCCGCCCCTCACCAGCTAAAGGAGAAACACAAGAAAATAGAAAAGTTCCCATTTCGTTCTTCTTTGCCCTTTCCAACTGAATTATACATGGTGTGTGTGTGTGTGTATACCTATGTATTTGTTTAGAAGCAGAGGCTGAAGCTAGGCTTCTAAAGGTAGAGCGTTAACATTTGTATATGGAAATGCAGGAGACAGAGAGACAAAGAGCATTCAAGTGAATGTTTACCAAGTCCAAGGTAAAAAGGAACAACAGTACCATGGGAGAAGAGACAGCACTTACACACTTACACAATCACAATGCGACAGGCAGATGCTGTAATAAAGGGACTGACTTGGGGGCCCAGGCGCACAAAAGAAGGAAACTAGTAACTGCAGAGACAGCAAGAGAGGGCGGGGAGAAAAGCGGAGACTACTTCCCTGGGAGGGCTGTGAGGGTGCACAGCAGTTCCGTGGCAGACAACAGGGAGGGAGAATAAAGAAGGTGCTAAGAATGGCAGCAAGTAATTCTGTGAGAGAGGAGCGATTTGGCGGGCATCAGTTTACAGGAGTCATATGAAGGAGTCTTTATGCTGTGGCCTCAGGGTCCCCATCTGAAAGAATGGAATGAGATGCCTGCCTGCCTCAGAGCTCACACACCACACCTGTGCGGCTGTGGGCCGTCAAATTCAAGACATGAAAGTAAGCAAAACTGACGTGCCCTCAAAGGAGGACTTTCCCCTCCCTGGAAACGGAAAATAAAGTCCCCGGGGAAGCCATTCCATTCCATGTGGAACTGTATTTGCAGAGACATGAGTATCTTCTGGAAGAAAAACTGTAAAGGCTGCAGACCTTCCTCTTTGTTTGACAAATGTCTCAAAAGCTGAGTACATGATTTTCATTTTTAAAGTACTAACTCTTCTCCTACCCAAAGATAAGGTAAAATACATTTTGTTACTGGCAACAAGCTGCTGATCAAAATTTGACCTGATAAAGGAAAAGGGAAAACCCACAAAATGGCTAAGTCATTGTGGAGCCACATACTTTACAAAGTATGTGGTGAATTTCAACACTGCAGGAAAAGGGCAGAAAAACCACCAAGATTCCTAACAGTGTTCAGCTTTCTATGAAATTGTTGCTGCTTGTCAGACGTTCCTTCAGCACTGCAGACAGGGAGAGGAAAGAGGAGCGGTCTGACCAGCACAGCAAGCTGGACAGAGTTGCTGAAAAGCCAGCAGCCAAGAAAAAGCAACGTCGTCACCGAGTGCACGTGAGCCCCAGCCTCTACCGCCACTAGGCACGTTGTAGCAAGATGTTATTCATTCAAAATACAGACCACACAGCAACTGCACTTATTTGAACACTGCTGAAAAGCTATAAAGTCAAAAAGTCTTCAAAGCAATGAAAACAGATGTGTCCAAGTTTGTGCAGAGAGATCCAAGCCCTCCTCAGGCTGTCAGCGTCAGCTTCCACTGCACACTTACAGTGGCCCCTCGTGGGCTTCTACGCTGCCAGGTGAAGTGCTCGTCATTGGTGTCTCAGCGATCCTCAACTCAGTAGGCGTCTACTGCCCATTTTACAGATGAAGAATCCGAGGCTTAACGAGGTTGAGTAACCCTCCTTTTACGGGACATGAGTTGCTGACCAAGAGTTCAGTCCAAGTCTCAATGCACTTCAGAGTCCACGAGCTTATTAGCTGCTGAGTGCTAGTTCCAACCAACATCCCCTCCAGAGGCCTGTACCAAAGTGATTACAGCAAATTAGGAAGGTTCCTTGAAGAGAACTGCACTTCACTGCCCAAGGCCTTGCCAGAAGAGGACAATAGCATGTGGAAGCTACAGGCGGCTAACATTTCTGAGAAGCTGCTAGAAGGCTTGAAAACAGCTTGGCTGTTTTCATTCCACTGGACCTCAAAAACTAAATTCTCTGACTTCTTACCAAAGTGCACATCTTCTCTCCAAAGTGACATGGGCGCGGGCACCTCACAAATGTCAGCAAAGAGGAAGGCCCTGCCAGAATATCGCTGACCCTGGACAGAGGAGTTGGGGGGAATTCTACAATGAAGCTCTCAGAGGCCAAAATGCTTACAAATGTTCACAACCACCCTTGACCCTTCATGCTTACAAGGCCTTTGAATCAAAAACTCTAATTGTTACTTCATTTCATCCAGCCAGAGAGGCAAATTCCAAGAGAGAACCTCCCTAAAGGTTCCAAACACAATTCCTTCTGAATGCACTTGGCACTAAAGTGCTAAAACGACAGAAAACGGGCATTTTATTTCCTCAAAGTCACTCGACATCTCTAAAGTGACCATTTGATACTCTTTGTTTCCTCTGCTAAAATAGAAAATCTGAGAAAGAAATTATATCTGTATCCACACAGTAAGTGGGAATTCACGTGTATCGATGAATAAAATTTACTGTGTTTAACTGAAAGTTGAATTTTTAATATGGCATAGTGCTAATAATGTAAGGCTCCTCTTTTCCCTGTTTCTCCAAACCTGGAGAAAAACAGACATAAACTTGCAATAAAAACAGAAATAATACAGATGTGGTACCCTGACGCGAGTCCTGCTCTGGTACCTGCAGACATGACCTTGGGCCAGTCATCCAAAGGGACTGAGCTTCAGAGCTTCCTGCAAACTGAGAAAAACCGCCCAATAAACGGACCGAGCGGGGTGTCAGTCCCCGCACATGGGCTCAGTAAGTAGGAGCTGTCAC